GAGTCGTTGTTAAACAATGGCCTTCCAAACGATTTGCCCGTAAACGTTACGCGGGCCAATTTGTCGGGTAATTTCTGAAGAAAATCGTTCGGTCACTATCGTGGGGCTGAATTTCATGCGCAGACATACCGTTCATTTGATTCCGCTGCCCTTTCCAACCACGAATCCTGTTGCCATCCTTCAAACGTTCTCCATTGTTGGATATTGCGACAAAAAATTTTACAGCATGTGGCTTTATATATTTTTATTCGCTCGTTGATCATTTATTTTCGCATGTAATTTCAAAAGGCAATCAATCTTATTGAAAATCCATAACATTTAATTTAAAAGAAATGGAGATCGTCTTAATTTCTTTCCAGCATTAGCTCGTAACAAAGCAAGTGTGCTGCAATTTATTGCAGTTGTGTATATTGAACTTTCCATTTATTCGATAAAAGAGTCGTCGTAAACGATAGCGCGCGTTTTCTCAGCCAGCCTGCCATTTCTCGCGGACACACACAGCCCGGGGAAATCTGAGGAAATAATCCAAACGGATGGCCACCCGCGAGGTTTGCATATGAAAAGCTCCCGGCCGTGAATCGATACACCTTTATTATGCCCGAGCACTTGCTTATCTCCCGCTTCTCTCCCCCTGTCTCTCGCATCTTCCCTCCCCGGGGAAGTCGGCAATATTTTCGACTTCCGGGGAAAGAAAAGAAGACTCGGTCGGGGAAAGGTCGAGGGAAAGGAGCGCGGCGAATGCCCGAAGCGTGAAACAATAATTGCCGAATTTTCGCGCTTGGTGAAGCGAGTGGTGACTCGACGTCAATTTTCAAGATGACTCGACCCTCACTTTCTTGCTTTCTCTCTCTCTCTCTCTTTCATACGATCCTATTTCTCACTTTTTAATTTCTAAAACTCGAACAAATTTCTATCTCATCCTCGTCCCATCAGGATCAGGCTGCAGATGACTCGAAAAAAATATTCAAGTTTCGAAACTTTTGCCTGATTCGAACTGTTAATCTTTCTCCTTCAAATTTTTATACAAATTTATATTATAATTAAAATTTTATATTATAATTTTAAATTATAATTAAATTTTATATTATAATTAAAAATGTATATTATAATTTTATAAAAATTTCACTATTTTTTAAATTTTTTCTCAAAATTATTTTTAATTAAATTATCAAGATATTTGTTGCCTGGAAAAAATAAGAAAGAAAAGAAAAATGTGATTTGAAATTTCATTGTGGACTCTTTGAAAAAAGATGTGATTTAACTGAATAATTTTTTAAAAGTAAAACTAAAGTAGAATTAGAGAAATGAGATAATTAAATACATTACATGCTTTTTTTCGAACGAGAGAGCTTGTCACTTTAGGAAATCATCGAAGATCTCTCGCGTATTCCTTCGCGATCTTTGCTCCCTGTTCGTCTGCGACTTTCTCCTCGCTCTTCTCGACGACTGAAAAATCGCGCGCGTCAATGAAATTGCGACGATCGTCTCTCATTTCACGCTCGCCGGCGTAATCGTGGTGAAAGGTCAGCAAGACGATAAAGAAAAGTCCCTCGCCCACTATCGGGCTCGTTATTCTACTTAGCACCTTGTTACACACGACGAAATGTGTTCTATTGTGTATTGTCGCGAGATAAACTATCATTCACCGGTGTCGAGTTGTTCCTAATTTTATTTCAGATTCATTGTCTTCACATCCTGCTCGCGCTGTCATCGGACCATCTCTCAGAGAGTTGTCCTGAGTTATTTCACGTCAACATTGCAATGTAAAGTTACGATTGTATTTGGAGGAGACCAGGAATTGGCTGTGGAATCGCGGAAAATATTTATGACGTTCATGCAAATTCATATATAATTCATAAAATCATATTTTAACGCGATGAATAAACTTAGCTCCTTTCACCTCACCTAAAAAAAATTACGTTTCAAAGCGTAGAACGAGAAACACGCTTCGATCCGACAATCGTTCGGCTTTAAGATCCCGAAGCTTCATTTAAACAAAGATCGCTCCCTATCCAGAATGGCCATTTAATTAGGACCACTTTATTTTGCTGCAGCCTTTTGTCCGACTTGTCGTCGTCCAAGACCATCGCGAGACAGTAAATGGGGAGGAAATGGCGAGTCCTGAACTTTTTAATCTCTTACAAGAGCAAGTACTACCTCTCTGCTCGTTACAACGCGCACGTATTTATCTCGTCTAAGAAGTTTCTTTCCGAACAATGTGCGTATTTATTCGGCCGACTCTGCGGGATTGCTCGCGTTTGCAAATTCGTCGAGTCTGATCTTGGACAAATTGAAAGAGAAAGAAATCCCTTCGAAATAAAAAGAGAAAAGTTTCGTTTTCACTAAAATGTGTCTTTCATTCAGAAAAATATTTTGCCGATGGATAGGTGGACATCTAATCTCAACAATTATTTTTTTGCCAAGGTAGTTTCTACTATTATATATTTCTATAAAAATTTATTAGCTAACTAAATTTTTTTTTTCTAATAAATTTAAGTCTTATTTTAATTAGTGTTTTAGATAAATATTAGTTTCAATCTAATATCAACAATCATTTTGCCAAGGTAGTTTCTATTATTATATATTTCAATAAAAATTTATTAGCTAGCTAAATTTTTTTTTTCTAATAAATTTAAGTCTTATTTTAATTAGTGTTTTAGATAAATATTAGTTTCAATCTAATCTCAACAATCATTTTTTTGCCAAGGTAGTTTCTATTATTATATATTTCAATAAAAATTTATTAGCTAGCTAAATTTTTTTTTCTAATAAATTCAAGCCTTATTTTAATTAGTGTATTAGATAAATATTAGTTTCAATGTTGCAGCTAGAATAATTTTTGTAAGAAATGATTCTTTTGTGTATCACGTTAGACTTAGCATTAGCTTTAATAAGGATGAGCGTCATAGAAAAACTTTCTTTCTAAATTTCACCAACAGTTGAGATATAAATTCCATCTCTGTCATTTAAATTAATTAAATGGAAAATATACGCGATATCACAATATTTGCAAATTATTTATTTACCTCAATTAATTTCTCGTACTTAGGAAATTACAATATTGAATAGAATACATCTTATTTAGACAAAAAACTTTTAATAAAGAAATTGATATTTATGATTAACGAAATATATTTTATATAAGATAGAATAATATTAGAAAATTATATTTAAATTTTTGCCTCATATTAATGTCGAATAAATTCAAAAGTACGCGTCGTAAAAAAAAAACATTTCCACAAGAATGATTAATCGTAATCTTAGGCAATCCCGTAGTGTTTCTCAAGACGTGAATTTAAGTTTTTTCCTTCCTCGGGGGAGGACCCCAACGTCCGGCGTTACGATCCAAGAGAATATGCTTCCCGGGTAATGTTTCGCGGTGCTTTTTACTCGCAAGGCGAGGGTCGTTCTTAAGCACGTGGCGCCTGCATCCTCGGTCTGTCGCTTCTTCTCCTCCCGACCGTCTCGGCTCGTCCTCGTCGCGTTGGGGCGAATTAATAGAATCCCACGGATTCGCCCCAAACCCGCGTCGCGGCGGATGTCTATGGCCGCGCTGGCGTGAAAAATGGGCCGAAAATCTGATATTCCGGATTAAAAACATTGAAATTCAAAACCCGTCCCTCCCGCCATAAGCTCTTTCGCGCGCGCCATAAGGGGTAGGAGGGTCGAGAAGTCGTTAAGGGTCAGTTTCAGCCGCATGCCGTGGTAACCGACCCCCGTCGACCCTTCCCTCCTCCACCGCGCCCTCCTCCCTCGTCGTTCGAGGATATTATTTTTAAGCCCCCCCGCAACTCGTCGGACCGAACCGCAATTTGACACAGACGCGCCGTTTGAATTCCGAATTCAATCGGCCGGGGCCGATCTCCGTCGTCTCGATTCCGCGAAATTAAGGGTGGGTTCGAAAATTGATAGCGGGGGCTCGGGGGAGGCGGGAGGGACGCACACACGTTTCGTACAATGTGCTGTTTTACGAGAGCTGCCGTCACATGTTCGTGAAATCACCGTGAAGCCTCGAATCCTCCATCGTTGGAGATTATTGCGATATGGGTCTTATAATCATCCTATATTCGCGAATCTAATCCATCGAGAATTATATCCTGATTTTATCGGCGTAATTTCCCTCTCCCACTGGTTTGTTCAATTTTCGAAATAGCTAATAAAACTTTGATGTTTCGTAACGTCTTTGATCAAAATAAAATAATTACTAAAAACACATGTAATAAAATAATTACTAAAAGTAAAATAATTACTATTAATAATAATTACTATTAAATAAAATAATTACTAAAAACACATGTAATTAAATTTAATATTAAAAAATATTATGTGTTTTTAATAATTATTTTATTTGATGAAATTTAATATTGAAAAATATTAAACATTTAAATATAATTTATTAAATATAATTATATTTATTATAAATATAATTACTAAGAACACATGTAATTAAATTTAATATTAAAAAATATTATGTGTTTTTAGTAATTATTTTATTTGATGAAATTTAATATTGAAAAATATTAAACATTTAAATATAATTTATTAAATATAATTATATTTATTATAAATATAATTACTAAGAACACATGTAATTAAATTTAATATTAAAAAATATTATGTGTTTTTAGTAATTATTTTATTTGATGAAATTTAATATTGAAAAATATTAAACATTTAAATATAATTTATTAAATATAATTATATTTATTATAAATATAATTACTAAGAACACATGTAATTAAATTTAATATTAAAAAATATTGTGTTTTTAGTAATTATTTTATTTGATGAAATTTAATATTGAAAAATATTAAACATTTAAATATAATTTATTATATAAATTTAATATTGAAAAATATGAAATATTTAAATATATACGAAAGAATAAAATACGAAGCGACCTATATTTAAATCCCGAACAATGTTAAAATAAAATTGTCCGAGTTCCACGATGACAACAACGACTGTTAACCACCGCAACGTTCATATATCTGTTTCAGAGCCAAGATGGCTGCAGTGCTCGCAATGTTCCCGGCGACTGTGCTCGGCGTGGGAGCTTCTTCAGCACGTACAGAGCATGCACGGCGCTCGTCTCTACTGCTCCTCCTCCTCGTCGACGAACTCGTCGTCCAACACTCCGGCGCCGAGTCCACCGACGCCTACGCCGACGCACGCGCATCACCTTAGCCCGCCAAATCACCTGAACCTGAGCGGCAAGTCCACTGGAAGCTCGGCGGCGAACTCATCGGGTGGCACGAACACAAGTGGCAGTAGCGGTAGCCGGCAGCAGCTTCAAACCTCAGCGTCCCTGGTGGGCGACCCTCTCCACAGCTTCTTGAGGCTACCTCAACATTTGGAGCGAAGTTTCCCGCCCATGTTCAGGCCCGACTTCCTCACGTTGAATCCTCTGGCAGGTTACAGAGGTCTCCAGGAGCTGCAGACGGCCACGAGAAATCTGCAGAACCTGGGCGACCCGCTTCGCGGTATGGACGGTTTGAATCTGGGCGATCCGCTGGTCCGCAGTTCGTTGGACTCGCTCAACAACGCCCGGAATCTCGCCAATTTGGCCGAATTGTCGCACGGCCGAGGCCTCGCCGGCCAAGCACACCCACCACCACTCGAAGCGAACCTGGATTTTTACTCAGCGCGCCTAAGGAGCCTCGCTAATCCGTCCTTAGGCGCGGCTCCACCAACCCCTAGCGGAAATCCCACGACGAATCCCCCTCCTCCACCGGTACCGCCGGTACCATCGGTTCCCATTGCCAGTAATGTTCAGCAGCAGCAGCAGCAGCAGCAGCAGCAACAACCATCGCAACAGCAACAGTCGCAAGTTCACTCGGTGGAACCACCTAGTCCGGCCTCGGCCAATCCTACGAATCTAAGCCACAGCAATCACCAGAAGGAAAACTCACCACCCTGTTATAGTCAAAGTCCGGTGGGTCATCACAACAACAACAATTCGACCGACAGCGAGAAGACAAGTCCACCTGTGGCCTCGACGCCAATAATTACCGACTCTTCGTCGGAAACGGTGTACACGTGCGAGGTCTGCGACAAAAAGTTTCGCTTTCAGTCCAATCTGATCGTCCATCGTCGCAGCCATCGAGACAAGGAGAGGCAGTATCAGCAGCAAGACACTACGCAAGACAGTCAGAGCACATCGACAAGGTGCGACGTGTGCGAACTTGAGTTGGCGAGCTTCACCGAACTGAGGAAGCACATGAGGAAGGAGCATCAGGAGCAGCTAAACTCGGCTGCCAGTCCACAGGGCAGCGTCGAAACGGTGCCGGATGATGGATCCAGCTGTGACGAGAACATGGATCTGGACGAGATGGAGGAGAGCGAGCAAAAGGCCGAGCGCGAAGATGCGGAAGAGAACACACCCGAGGATCTGAGCACCAATCAAGGACAAAGTGGCGAGGAGAGCGGAGGTCGAGTGGAGAAACCAGCCAGTCTAGTGGGCGATCTCATGGAGAAGTTTGGGCTGAGCAACATTGCCCAATACTCGGAGGCTTATCGACAGGCGCTACAGGAGAATCATCGTAGCGGCTTTCTCAAAACCGACTCGCCCTGCAACCTCGCCAACTCGCTCAACAATAACAAGGAGAAGGAGAGCGCGCTCTCGCCGAATTTCAACTCGTCGACAACGCCCAACATTTTTTCCGGCCAGGGGTTTCCGAGATCCTCGGGGCCGGACTTTGGCGGTCTCTGGCTACCCAGTCCGCACTACTTGGAGAATAACGAATTCCGTAAAGCGTCCAAGGCAACGACGTCCAGCTTGGCGCTTCAGGGCCTGCCGAGCCCGTTGCTGAAGAAGGAACGGAGCGGCCGAAACGACACTTGCGAGTATTGCGGCAAGGTCTTCAAGAACTGCTCCAACTTGACGGTTCATAGACGGTCGCACACGGGCGAGAAACCCTACAAATGTGAGCTTTGCTCGTACGCGTGCGCCCAGAGCTCAAAGTTGACCAGGCACATGAAGACCCACGGCCGACATGGCAAGGACACGTACAAGTGTCGCTTCTGCGAGATGCCGTTCTCGGTGCCGAGCACACTCGAGAAACACATGAGGAAGTGTGTGGTGGTGGTTCAGCAGGGTCCCAAGCTGGACATACCGTACCCGGTGATCAAGGACGAGGATTCCTCACTCAGTAGCAAGGATACTTGATCCTGGAACGGAAGCCTACCGCCAATCCCACCGTTGTGGCCGCACAGGCCGCCTTATCCGGTGTACTGAAGATCCCAGAGGGGATCTTTCTCTTCAGCGACCTCGAGATAGGTAGAGACACATCCGATGATCCGAGTCGCACAAGATCTCGATACGGTGCGACTTCAGAAGGATTTCTCGCCGCGAAATATCCGAGGTCACCTCTCGGGGATTAGGAGAGGTGGTAGGTCGACGCGTGATCTCAACAATCTCTCGATCAAAACGGCCTGGAAACGGCTCGAAAATGATAAAAGCAACGAGAGATGTAGCGAAGCTAGACGAGTTTCGGCTTCTTCGAAGAAGGGAGGATCCTCGCTCTCGAAGAAGCGCGGGGAACGCTCGCATGATGCGAAACCCAGGAGGCGGCATAAAGAGGAAAGGTGCTCGATGAGAAGGAACTCCGCGTTTAACCCACTCTAAGAAAAACGAACGAATGGTTACCAGTTTGCGAGTCTCTGCACACCTATTTAAATTATATATCGCTATAGAGGTAGTTATAAATAACGCGGAAAAAGACACTATAAATTAAATATGTATGTATTACACATACACACATACACACACAGATATAAGACTATATATATATATATATTTATATTATATATATTATATATATATATATATATATATATATATATATAAAAGGCAGATATAAATATACAAAATATAAATATTATAAATAAGATAACGAACGTACAAGTTCGTGACTTTATTATTGCATTTGAAGATTATTTATTTAATAATATATATATATATATATATATATATATATATACATATTGTATAACATAATATATATGTATAAATATATGATGAAAACTTGCAACTCGCCGTGTATGTAAGTATCCTAGAGACGCAAATCGGAGTCAAGTTCTTTTTGTACATTACACGCAATGTCGCTTCGTAAGAACGTGTCGATTGGACGGACGCGTCGTTTTATTTCGAATGCATCGATTTCCTTAGCTCGTAAGAAAAAAAAATGGCGACTTTGATGATCCTCTGTGTATATAATATACATATATATATATATATATATATATATATTTAAATATTTAAAAACACATCGATATTTGAGAAAAAAAAACACCCTGTTATATATATATATATATATATCAATACTTATAGAATATTGAGAAAAAAAAAATCTGATTAAGATAATTTATGAGAAGCTAGTATCTCTAAACTCTAGCTCGATCCTATGTACAATGTATTATATCTATTATCGGCGATTCTATTATCTTTATTAATATTATTATTATATTGTCTTTATTATTAATATTATTATTATTGTTTTCCAACATGATTATTGTAATTATTACTATTATTATTATCATTATTATTATTATTATTATTAGTATTCTATTATTATTATTATTACGTTTGTCACTATTATGATTACGGTTGCACAGTGAGTTCAAAAGCGCCGCTTTCATTATTTTATTCCGATATTAAATTATTGTCTCAGATGTTTTTAAAGATTAAGAAAATGCCAAAGTTGTTTAGGTTTATGGCCGTTGATTTTGCGTCGCGCGCGACGCGTTTGTCGAGGCGAAGGAGTCGTTTAATTAATCGAGAAAGCCCGGAGGGGGAGGGGGCGGGGGCGGGGGAGGAAGAGAAAAATATTCCAATTGCGAAAAAAAAAAATTCCCCTCCCTCGACCCGGCCACTTTACACGTCGGGATCTGTCATCAGCGCGCTTTGTTCGTTGATTATATTTATTGTCGCTCGGATCGCGACCCGATTCTCGCAGGATCGATCCTTCCCGCGATCGTTGATCCTGCGAGGATCGTTCCCGCGATCCAAATCCGAGGCGCAATCAGAATCGAATTCCCGTTTTCTCTCGTCCTCGTCTTAAGACTGAAGCTTTCGCGGGCGACGTGACGATCCTTCTTCAAGTTTTTTGCGTTCCACTTTAAACAGCGAAATAGAATTTTTTCTTTTATTTTTTTTTTTTTTCTTTTTGTTTTCCTCAACGAGAGACGCCTCGTCGACGTAAACGTTTTCGAAGGGAACTGTTCCTAAAGAGAGAGAGATATATATATAAATATATATATAACGTAGACAGAGTAAGGTTAAAGAAATAACTTTATGCGTGAGAGAGAGATGAATGCGGATATCGATTGCGTGTCTCCTTGTGATTTTATTGTGCGTGTTATCCTTCTCGTTCCGGGGATGAGTGTGTGCGTGAGAACCAGAAAGCATAAAGGCGATTTAAAAAAAAAAAAAAACTCATATCAGATAGTTCTCTCGATGTTAGACGTGTACGGCCCTAGATAAAAAAAAAATCTCTCGTTATCTAGTTAAAAGTTTGTTAGATCGATTCCTGAAATACGTACATGCCAGGCTCCGCGCGTTTATACGACATACTGTAAATAATGGCACTGCCCGTAGCGATGAGACCCGAGAGCAGAAAGGGAGAGCCGCGTCGTCGAAAATTTGTTTAACGATTACAATCACGGGAGGAGAGAGAGAGAGAAGAAGGGGAATAAGTTGAACAATGATTTCTCCTTTTTCTCGCGCGCGTTTCCGTCATTCGCGACGAAGAATACCCAGGAGGGGCGACCCCTTTCTTTCCGAAATTTCGCGGATACGAAGAGAGAGAGAGAAAGGTTTTTGAGCGCCGTGTATATAATCGACGAAATAAAAAAAAAATCCTGCGGCACGTCGCCAATATTTTCATTTCGTTCAAACGTTCTCCCTCCTTCTCTTCTTGCCCATCTTGTTCGAATTCATCCCACATAGGACCAAGTTCCCTGCCACACCGAAACAAAGGAGAGTGACACATGCAAATCTCGCGGCGGGCGATCGGGTCGGCGGGACACGACGAGGACGAGAGCGAATTTTTATGCGAATATCCTTCGCATTTTAGGGACAGGACGCTGTAGCCGCGATGAATGGCGATGCGAATCCAGCATGGAAATTGCCGCACACGGCGACTCTTCCAGCTCGATTCGCGGACGTGAGCGTTTGAAGAGAAAAAAAATTGGAGAAATATATACGATGTTGCAGAAATTTTCCTCAGTACCTCAGATTAATCGGCACAATATCGATCCCGTCGTGTCTCCCCCCCGGTTGATTTCTAACGTTTCTACAGGGTAAATCACGTAAAATGCTAAAAGATAATCCCAGAACGAACGTCAAGAGTATAGTCGAGCGAAGTATCTAGGCAGTCTATATAATTTAAAACTACGAAATATTTCCTATAATTATGATAAGAGACACACACACACACACACATATACAAGAAGGAGATCCACACACAGAGTCGATTATCGGGTGAGAAAAAAAAAATGAGCGATAATATCGTAGCAGGGAAATTGGATTTTTAGGAAATCTTCTGATCCAGGGTAAAATATAATCCGAAGCTCGGTTTCTAGGGACAGTACGTGACCGGGTTAAACTTGGCATTGAAACACTTTTAACCGAGGATCGACATTAAGGCAATACAAAAAAAAAAAGAATAAGAAATCCAGGCGTCTCCGAGTAAATTCCGGCCAAGACCTGCGACAAACATTGGCCGAGCTTTCCTCGCAGGGATCCCTAATTGTAAACATAGCAGATACGGTGTATGTCTTGTGCGATTCAAATAAACGACATTGTTTTTAAATAATCTAGATGAGTTTTGTTTAGGTTTTCTTGCACCTCCCTTTCCCCCATCAATTGTTTAATGAATATAAAATATAAAGTATTCGTTTATATTTTCTCTTTTCAATGAGTTTCTCCTTTAAGTGAACTATATCCACAAACAGAGTTTCTCGTAAGCAAAAATGTGCTTTTTAAATTTAAAGACGAGTCTTTCATCATTCATTTTTTAATTTTCAACATTATAATATTTTAGAAACAATAATAGAAATATTTATATGTATAATGCTCTTTCGACAATTTAAAAGTTATCAATTAATAATTTAAAACACAATTTTCGGAATTTTCTGATGACATTTTGCAAACTTTTTCATTAATATTCGTGAAATTATAATTGATTATATATGATAATCATGACTGACGAATTATTCGGGAAATGAAAGAATTTCCCAGCCATCTGTACCGTTCGTTTCCGATACGCCTCTGTCTGGCGTAGAAAGCTCGTTACATAAATTGTTTAACTCGTCGTCGAGTCACTATCATTCGCCGCTTATTGCATAACGGGTTTCGCAATGGTTAAAAATTCGATTAAAATCGATTCGTCTCGCGTCGAATTTTATTTAGAAATAAAAGAAGAATATTCAGATTCGATTTTTCGTCATCCAAAAATATAGAATATCTGATTCAATAAATCTCTTTACAGCTTCTATTCCTTAATTTGTCCACCATGTTACATACAATTAATAAACAAAATTATTGCTTATTAATTGTATGTAACATGATGGAGCGATGTATATGAATATCTGTAATCATTTTTTTTTATTTGTATAGTTGCAGTTGAAAATTGCACTAGTTTAAGAATCATTTGTGCCATCTAGCGTGAAGGTGTAACGATACAAACGAAAACTCAGGTGAGAACAATCATATTGAGCCAAAAGTGAGAGGAATATACTGCATTGCATGTTGGGTTGCCCTTCCAAAGGGTGTCCTGTTAATTCATATGCTGTTTCGTTTGTCGTTAGAAAAAGCAAACAATTTCAAAGATACTTTTCCTTTCTTCTTTTTCTGCATTTTTTAATAATTTTTACAAAATAAGCGTAAATCGTTTACGTCAATCAAATATATTTTTAATGCATCTATGTAAAACGAGCTATGCATAACATCAAGTAGAAAATTAATAAGTGTCGTGACAGAAAAGATTTAATTTTATCAAAACAAATATATTTAATTAAAAACTAAATGTATTCAACTATCGCGTCTACAAATTTATATAAATATTCAAAATCCTTGTGTATCTCTGAAAAAAATTTAATCTTCCATATCGAATAATTTTCTAAGTCTATTATTTATTATTTTTATGCAGAAAGATGGGATAAATTATCAATAAGATTGTTACATGTCAAGTTTTAATAAATTAATTATGCAATTAATTAATTGGATCTACATCCAATTCAAGAATTTAACATAATAGAAGAAAAAGTTGTAATTTCAATTGCTATTAGAATTAATATTTAAATATATTGAAGCAATAATTATTAAAAATTATTACCTTTCCTTATTAATTTGTTTTCTTTTTTTTTGGATTAAAAATGTTTATGTAAAAATGAAATTAAAAAGTCGCTTTTCCTCTCCACTTCGCCGACGTAAACTACGAAATAT